GGCTGAGTTTGGAAGCAGAGAGAGCAGGGGACACTGCCCCCCTAGTCTTTTAAAAGAAGAATGAACAGTTCTTCCCTGTTCATGTTTTTGTTTCTTCAACAGGGAAGAGTGGGCAGGTCTAAGACAAACATGCTGAGCACATTCTGTCAGGAAGGACAGACAGGGAAAAAAGGGAGGAGGGGTTGCCTTGTATATTAAAAATGTACACACTTGGACTGAAGTGGAGATGAACGTAGGAGATAGCTGTGTAGAGAGTCTCTGGGTTAAGCTAAAAGGGGTAAAAAACGAGGGTGATATCATGCTAGGAGTCTACTACAGGCCACCTAGCCAGGTGGAAGAGGTGGATGAGGCCTTTTTTAAACAATTAACAAAACTATCCAAAGCCCAAGATTTGGTGGTGATGGGGGACTTCAACTATCCAGACATATGTTGGGAAACTAACACAGCGAGGCACAGGCTATCCAATAAGTTTCTGGACTGCATTGGAGACAACTTTCTGTTTCAGAAGGTTGAAAAAGCTACCAGAGGAGAAGCTGTTCTGGATTTGGTTTTAACAAATAGGGAGGAACTAGTTGAGAACTTGAAAGTGGAAGACAGTATAGGGGACAGTGATCATGAAATAATAGAGTTCATGATCTTAAGGAAAGGTAGAAGGGAGACCAGCACAATTGAGGTTATGGATTTCAGGAAGGCAGATTTTGATAAGCTCAGAGAACTTGTAGGTAAGGTCCCATGGGAAGCAAGACTGAAGGGAAAAACAACTGAGGAGAGTTGGAAGTATTTCAAAGGGACGTTGTTAAGGGCCCAAAAGCAAACAATTCCGCTGTGTAGGAAAGATAGAAAATATGGCAAAAGACCAGCTTGGCTTAACAAGGAGATCTTGCATGATCTCAAAATAAAAAAGGAGTCATATAAAAAATGGAAACTAGGACAACTAACAAAGGATGAATATAGGCAAGCAACACGGGAATGCAGGGGCAAGATTAGAAAGGCAAAGGCACAAAATGAGATCAAACTAGCTACAGGCATAAAGGGAAACAAGAAGACCTTTTATAAATACATTAAAAGCAAGAGGAAGACCAAGGACAGGGTAGGCCCACTGCTTAGTGAGGAGGGAGAAGCAGTAACAGGGAACTTGGAAATGGCGGAGATGCTCAATGACTTCTTTGTTTCGGTCTTCACCGAGAAGTCTGGAGGTGTGCCTAACGTAGTGAATACAAGCAGAGAGAGGGTAAGTTTAGAAGATAGGATACACAAAGAACAAGTTAAAAATCACTTAGGAAAGTTAGATGTCAGCAAGTCACCAGGTCCTGATGAAATGCATCCCAGGATACTCAAGGAGCTGATAGAGGAGGTATCTGAGCCTTTAGCTATGATCTTTGAAAAATCATGGCAGACAGGGGAGATTCCAGAAGACTGGAAAAGGGCAAATATTGTGCCCATCTATAAAAAGGGGAATAAGAACAACCCAGGAAATTATAGACCGGTCAGTTTAACGTCTGTCCCAGGGAAGATAATGGAGCAGGTAATTAAGGAAATCATATGCAAACACTTGGAAGGTAATAAAGTGATAGGGAATAGCCAGCATGGGTTTGTGAAGAACAAGTCATGCCAAACTAATCTGATAGCTTTCTTTGATAAGATAACGAGCCTTGTGGATAAGGGAGAAGCGGTGGATGTCATATACCTAGACTTTAGTAAGGCATTTGATACGGTCTCGCATGATATTCTTATTGATAAACTAGGCAAATATAACTTAGATAGGGCCACGATAAGGTGGGTGCATAATTGGCTGGATAACCGTAGTCAGAGAGTTGTTGTTAACGGTTCTAAATCCTGCTGGAAAGGGATAACAAGTGGAGTTCCTCAAGGGTCTGTTTTGGGACCCGTACTGTTCAATATCTTCATCAATGATGTAGATATTGGGATAGAGAGTACTCTTATTAAGTTTGCAGATGATACCAAACTGGGTGGGGTTGCGACTTCTTTGGAGGATAGGGACATAATTCAAAATGACCTTAGCAAGTTAGAGAAATGGTCGGAGGTAAACAGGATGAGGTTTAATAGAGAGAAATGCAAAGTGCTCCACTTAGGAAGGAACAATCAGTTCCATACATACAAGATGGGAAGCGACTGTCTAGGAAGGAGCATGGCGGAAAGGGATCTAGGGGTCATAGTGGACCACAAGTTGAATATGAGTCAACAGTGTGATGCTGTTGCAAAAAAAGCAAATATGATTCTAGGTTGTATTAACAGGTGTGTTGTAAGCAAAACTCGTGAAGTCATTCTGCCGCTCTACTCTGCGCTAGTTAGGCCTCAGCTGGAGTACTGTGTCCAGTTCTGGGCGCCACATTTCAAGAAAGATGTGGAGAAATTGGAAAGGGTACAGAGAAGAGCGACAAGAATGATTAAAGGTCTAGAGAACATGACCTATGAAGCCAGGCTTCATGAACTGGGCTTGTTTAGTTTGGAAAAAAGAAGATTAAGGGGGGACATGATAGTGGTTTTCAAATATCTAAAAGGGTGTCACAAGGAGGAAGGAGAAAATTTGTTCCTCTTGGTTTCTGAGGACAGGACATGGAGTAATGGGCTTAAAGTGCAGCAGGGGAGGTTTAGATTGGACATTAGGAAAACATTCCTAACTGTCAGGGTGGTCAAATATTGGAATAAATTGCCAAGGGAGGTGGTGGAATCTCCCTCTCTGGAGATATTTAAGAACAGGTTAGATAGACATCTGTCAGGGATGGTGTAGACGGAGCTTGATCCTGCCTTGAGGGCGGGGGGCTGGACTCGATGACCTCTCGAGGTCCCTTCCAGTCCTATTATTCTATGATTCTATGATTCTAAGGTCGTTAAACACTGGAATAAATTGTCTAGGGAGGTTGTGAAATCTCCATCATTGGAGAGCAGGTTAGACAGACATCTATCAGGGATGATCTAGAAGGTGCTTGGTCCTGCCGTGAGGGCAGGGGACTGGACTTGAAGACCTCTCGAGGTCCCTCCAGTTCTAGGGTGCGTCTAGACTGGCATGATTTTATGCAAAACTTTTCCGTTAAAAGGATTTGCGCAAAATCATGCCAGTCTAGAGCAGCCCCAGTGTTCTGTGATTCTATAAATAGTTTGGCTGGAGATGTGACTGTACCACCTGGTGCTGGGATCCATTTTGAACCTGGCATTCTTCCATGGAAGAGGAGGGCAAGCCCCCTCAGGGTGGGGGGAGGGAGCATGACAGCTCCTAAAAGAGATCCCACAGGTCCCAGCTCCTGTCAAGCTCGTGCCCTGTTTCTGAACCACAACTTTCTTCTCCCCCACCTAGGCCACCAAAGATGGACCAGCTTGGTGTTGGTGGCTGATCTCCATCTTGCCGCTTGACCCCTCCGACCAGCTCCGGCTCTTCGCCACCACCTCGCTGCGAGCCCGCCTCACCCAGCTGAAGCACATCCTCACAGGCATCCTGCAGGGCCGCGAATATGGCCACCATCTCGCAGACCTCAGCACGCGAGGCAGGATCTGAACTCCAAAGCATGGCTGGCGCCTTGGCCAACTCACCCAGCACTTTCTTTGGGAGGGCTGGACACCTCGCCTGTTTTATTTCTGTGTGGCCTTCATGTTTTTATTGTCTTTTCATCCTCATATCCACCTCTGCCCCGGGCCGTGCACACACCTTTCTGGCAAACAGCTGGAAAGCACATGCAGCGGTAGCTAGAGTCATTGGTCCATTAGTGATACCATGCCGTCCATGCAGTTTTGATTAAGCTGCTTAGGGGATTTAGGAGCATCTCACTCAGTCTGAGGAAGGCAATGAGTCTGAAGATGGGGCCAGTCGACGGACACTGCCTTGTCGCTATGAGCAGAAACCACATGCCGATCTGTTTTGGTAGCATGGAGCAATCAGTAGAGGACAACCAGAAACGAATGCCAGGATCTCGTTGTTTGGGGCTCTTCTGCACTCAGGGGTGCTACCTTTTGCTGGCTTGCCCCAGTCTCTGCACAACTCTGGATGAAGTTATAACAGGAAGGGAGAGATTGCTATGGCTTCCCGGGAGATAGAGTTGCTGCCTTCAGTCATGCCCTCGATCAGATCGTCCACAAAAAAGAGAAGTTAAATATTCGGATCTTCATGGTTCTGCTTCTACTAGCCACTTATGGCCCAAGGAGAAGTTGCTATTTGACTCTCCCCCGTTCAGTAGGTTCCTGTCTCTCCGGGTTGCTTCCTTCTCTGCTTTTGTTTGAGTACCTGCATGTAGGGCAGACGCTTCCTTGCAAAGTCCGTCTGGCAATGCTGAGAGAAGGGGTTGCCTTGCTTTTGCGAGGGCCAGTCGCCTGTTTCTCACGGACCCGCAGGCTTTTACGGTCAGAAGGGACCATCGTCAACCTCTAGTGTGACCTCCTGCCTGTTGCAGGCCACGGAACCTCACCCATCCACCCCCGTGGTAGAGCCCCTAACCTGGATGCCCTCAAACCAGGTTTAAAGGCTGCAAGGGACAGAGAATCCACCATTTACACTAGTTTAAACCTGCAGGTGACCTGGGTCTCATGTTTGAGGAAGGTGAAAATCCCCCCCCTCCCCCGCCCACCCGCCACCAGCTGGCTGCAGATCTGACCGAGGGGAAAATTCTTTCCTAGTCTCAGCTCTGGCAATTGTTTATACCCTGTGCGGGTGGGTAAGTGCTCTTAGGCAGATTCCCAGGAAAGACTTCTCAGTAATACCTCAGCCCTCCCTAGCTACTGTGCCCTCTGCTGCAAGAGGAATGCCAGGGACTGAGAAATGCGAGGAGAGTTTGCTCACGGCAATGAGGCCGTGGTTGGAGCTGGATTGAGTGTAGGCTGGAGTTCGGCTTCCGGGCTAGCTCATTACGCTTTGGGTTTGAAGGCATCAGTCTCTCAGGAGATTTGGCCTACAACTTGTACAAGGTTTCTGACAGCGCGCGTGGGAGAAATCTTGGGCGGTCCACGTTTCTCGTGCTATTTCTGCCATTGGGGGCTGAGATCTTTTGGCCTGAGGGCTCGGCTGCCGTGTGAACAACCATCAGGAACACGGGCGCCTTCCCATGTGGGATGCAGCCTTGAAACCAAACCTGGAGGGTTTCCTCTAGAAATGCGGACAGGTGCAGCTGAGGGGCTGGGATTCTTGTGGCCACGAGGGGCTGTGACACAGAGGTGGGTGTGGATCTAAACATCTCAGTAGCAGGAGAGCAAGCGTCTGCGTGTCTACGACCTGTCCCTTTGCACCACGGGTGGAGATGAAATGTGGAGGAAGTGAAGCTCAGATAGGACTTTGTGGTACTTTCTGCAGATTATCCAGACACGGTTGTTTTCAATATTATTTGTGGGGGGTTGGGTTTAATTTAATTTACTTCTTTATTTAAAAGATCAGCACTGGGTTTGGCCAGGATCTCACCCCTGCCTTTCCCCTCTGCCCCGCTACCAGCGGCGGCTCCGTGTGCTATGAGGAGAGACCAGTTTATACCATGCTACCGTCCGGAGCAAGGTGGGGCTGTAGCAGTCTGACTGGGGAAGCTTTTCCTCTGTTTTCTATGTGACCAGCATCCTCAACAACTCCCATGGACACCTGTAGGTGTCAGGTGTGTTACCTCGGCTCTCGCAGGGTTCATGTTCCATCTCTAGGATTTGTTACCAGGCAGGAAAGGACTGAGACTCTCCATTCTTGCTCCCCGCCGCTCCCCATAGTTGGTTCAGGCATTTCTGGTCCCATGCACTGCCCTTTTCCTCCTCCTCCTCCCCCATGTGTTCTTGTGTCACTGGCACTGGAGGTCTCATTCCCTCCTTCCCAACAAAGTGCCTGGCTTGGGGCGTGACAGTCCAGAGTAGTGGAGGCTTGCTGGTCCAGGTGGAGGCCGAAGGGGGTGGCTGGTAGGGATGGGTCAAAGCTGGATTTTTGTCTTCATGCCTGGATTTGGCTGTTCCCCCTCCTGCTTTGCTCCTGTTACTACAACACGGGGCCCACAATGGTCTCTAAAGGCGACCGTAGGGCTGGGAGTGAGGGGTTCTGGCTGGCCTGTGGAGGAGACCCCAGAGTTTTGGGTAGGACGAAGGGCTGGGGTTGGCTGTGCAGAGGTGCTGTGGTATATCCCAGAAGAGATTCGCTTCTGCTGCTGGGAATGGAAATACAAGGGGAGATTTCTCTCTACTGAACTTCGGGAAGTGCCTTTATTTTATTAGGGGTGGGCGTGATTGGGTCGCCAAGCTGAGTGGCAGCCCTGGGCTTTCTGTTCACCACCCTGACCCCTTCCGGTGGCCTCCAGCTGTGGATTCGACTGCCAGCGTGTTCACCCTGCGCCTTGTTCGTCTCCTGGGACCCACCCGCATGGCTGCCAGGCCGGTTCTAGGCAGCACGTGGCCAGGCATCGCAGCTGAGCCGTTTCGCAGTAGACATCTTGCTTAGCAACGGGCCAGCCCCCGGGACCCTCCCCATTGGAGCTGCGGCTCCTTCCACGCCTGCGTCGGGCAGAGACTCGGTTGAAGCGCTCCGGCTGGCTTGCCGTTGACTAGGGGCTTTCCTCTTTGCACAAAACGTTGTGTCTGGGCAGAGAAATAAAGGAGGGTTTTTTGTGTGTGGTGCCTGTTGGAACACTGCCTGGGTGGGTCTGGTTCCTTCCTGGGGGACACTCAATCAAAGCGTGAGCAGAAGTCCTTGTGGATCCACCAGGCCCTGAGGGACAGTCTGGGTGAGACCCTGCCCAGGCAGGAGGCTGTTTGAAGGAAGAACAAGTTGGAGCAAAGGAGGAGGAAGTGAGAAGACTGGTACAAAGCAGGGGCGTTGCATGGGGGGGGAGGGGGAAGGGAGGTGCTT